TGACCGAGCTCGTCACCGTTCGCCGCACTGATACTGTTCACACCGAACAAGGACGGAGGGTTTTGCATGTGCATCGATTATAGGGCACTGAACAGGGTTACAGTCAAATCGCGATACTTCATTCCCCGAGCCGACGAACTGATAGATCAACTGCGAACATCACGGGTCTTTTCGAAAATCGACTTACAGGGAGGTTACCACCAGATTAGAGTCGAACCATCTGACTGTGCCAAAACAGAAATTTAGAACTAGGTACGGGTCCTTCGAGTACACTGTGATGCCTTTCGGGCTGACCAACGCACCAGCGACGTTTTAGATGACCATGAACGAGGCATTTAGGCCGCTCTTAGATTAATGCGGAATAGTTTACCTCGACGACTTCTTTGTTTACAGTCGTGACAAGCAGCAGCACTTAGAATACCTTGAAGAAGTATTTAAAGTTTTAGACAAGCATCGGGTACGGACCGAGGGTTCCGAGTGCGAGTTTTTTAAGGACCGGCTAGAATTTATGGGGCACGTTATTTCAGAGGCTGGGGTTGACATCGACCCAAAGAAGCTGGACACGGTAAATGCGTGACACCCCCCGACAAATATCACGGAACTACATAGCTTTTTAGTTTTATAGTCACAGTAGGCTCCAATGTGCTTAAAACGAAAGGTAGAGTGCACAGTCGGATTTCTGCACAGCGGCTTCAAACGTTCATAGCGATGTGCTCACAACTCCAAAAGACTTCATTCAACTTGGATCTGGAGCGCCTTAACGTCGCCTACAACAGGCAATTTAAATCGCACGCTTTCATTAAGAACTGACGACACAGCGTCGGTTTGAACGAACGGCACTGTGGCAGCAACATAGTCTTAGAACACAAGATAGAAAAGTGAGTTAGGAAGAGTTACGAGTTGGGAATGACTCCCAGCTCCTACAAACTCCAAGAGCCGAGGTACAGTGATGTGGAACAGTGCCACACTGTCCCCAACCACGAAGGGTCTCGAAACTACCCTTCACTAGGGCCTACACCAAGTGAAATGTTACACTACACAAAGTAATGTAACTATCTTCAATATCTTGAGGTGCACCTTTTTGGCGAGCTTCGAAATCACTTGAGGCTTGACACCAAGGCTCGGGCTCTTCATCACAAACTCATCCTTGAGTTCTTGATGTGTCTTCTGCACACACCTGCGACACTCCGAACGTTCGACACAGGACAAAATAGAAACCGCGCACGACAAAATAGAAACCGCGCGCGAGACACAAACAACCGCGTAATACGCGTCTAGCGATAACTCGCTATTGACTCGACACACACACTCGACATCATGACTCAACATTCACACACAATTATAAGCATGAAATATATATTATCCCATGCCCTCATACCATTCCATACACACACACATGCACGCACACGGACAACAAGCCGAGTGCAAACCGTAGGGTTGCACCAACATTTAGGGTTCGTTAATTATGTACGTCCGTTCGTCCCCGACATGGCGCGATTGACGACCTCACTGACGGATTTGCTACGAAAGGGGGTCGCTTTTACGTGGGGGGAGAAAGAGCATGCTGCCTTCTCTGCCCTGAAAATATGTTCTCTGTTCACCGCCCTTAATGCGCATCTCCGACCCGCACCGCCCATTTGAAGTAGTTACAGACGCAAGTGACATCGCCATCTGAGCCGTACTGCTACAGGATTTCGGTAACGGCGTACAACCCATCTCATATGAGTCACGAAAACTGTGTCAAAACTATATTGTAGGCTGTAGTGGGGCACTCCTTATGGGGTACAGTAGTGTGAAGGTTTACTACTTGTAGTCCTCATGCTGGTCAATGCATCCGTTCCTCGTTCTTATTCTCACATGGTATTAGAGTAGAATCGTTCCTAGGGCCCACCAAACGTTCCGCTCTGCCCTAACTGATTTTTTTTTATTAGCTGCCCCTGCAGCCGCGCTGCCCTTGCAGCCTGCGAGCGTGCTGCCCCTGTGACCGTGCTGCCAATGCAGCCGTGCTTGCCCCTGCAGCCGTGCCTGCCCTTGCAGCCGTGCCTACCTCTGCAACCCGTGGAAGCTTCCTCTGCAGCCCGCGCGCCACTCTCCCGAGCAGCTGTGCCTTCCCCTGCAACCGTGCCTGCCCCTGCAACCGTGCCTGCCCCTGCAGCCCGTGTGCGCTGCCTCTGCAGCCGTGCCTGCCCCTGCAGCTCGTGGGCGCTGCCTCTGCAGCCATGCCTGCCCCTGCAGCCTGTGGGCGCTGCCCCTGCAGCCGTGCCTGCCTCTGCAGCCCGTGGGAGCTGCCTCCACAGCCCGCGCGCCGCCCTAAACCCTGCTCGTCGCGACGCCCCTGCGGGACCCGCGCGGCGTCCCCAACCCCTGCTCGTCGCGGCGCCCCCTGGAAACCGCCCCGACTCATCGCGGTGCCCCCAAGGCATCGCCCTTATTCGACGTGGCGCCCCCCCCTGAGTGTCGCCCCTGCGTGTCGCGGCGCCCCCTGGGCGCCGTCTCTGCTCGTCGCGGCGCCTCCGGGGCGTCGCCGCTACTCGTAGCGGCGCCCACTGGGCATTGTCTCTACTCATCGCGGCGCCCCCTGGGCGCCGTCTCTGCTCGTCGCGGCGCCCCCGCGGTGTCGCCCTTACTCGTCGCGGCGCCTACTGGGCGCCGTTTCTGCTCGTCGCTGCGCCCCCTGGGCGTCGTCCCTACTCGTCGCGAAGCACCCCCCTGCAGCAATCGCGGCCTCGCCCTGCAGCAGCTGCCGCGGAGCCCCCTGCAGAAGTCACGGCCCTGCCCTGCAGCAGCTGCCGCGGAGCCCCCCTGCAGCAGTAGCGGCCCCACCCTACAGCATGTTGTGTGATGCAATCATATGCATTCACGTTTGTCTGCCTCCCATCATGTGTCCGTGCGCTGCATGCGTGGTGTGAGCGTGTGCAAGAATTTGTGTTTTGTGCGGTTTGGTTTTTCTGAGTGTGTGTGAATGTTATTTGGCTTGAGCATATATTTCAAGTGACTCTTCTGCTCAAGAGCTTTCCGACGAACCAAGAATCCCCGCAATCGGAGCAAAAACGAGAAAGATATTATCGTTCGAAGTTTTGATTGTGGTGCGGCGACTTTGGGAATTTGCGGGTTGACTCAATATGGGGTACAGAATTTTGGGGGCTCGGAAATTCGTCTTTTCTACGGTAGTTGCTGCCAAGTGGTTGGGATAAACCAAATTGGGTTGGCAAGTGTGGCCAACTTGGGTGAGGTGGATTGTGCAGGTTCGGATAGTGACAAAGGTCAAAGTTGGGTTGCCTATGGGGAAGGGAATTGTGTGGCATGGGGTTTCGTTGGTTGGGAACTCTCTTGGGACCTTCTCTCTCGTCCTCCTCATCCCTTCCACCTGGCTGAGTGCTACTCTAACATTCTTGTGTGGTAATGATGAGAACTTTGTGATTGAGTTAAGTTCTTGTGGCAGCATACCCCCCTGTGCACCGAAATTGATAAGAAAAGATTTACTTCATCTTTTGATACGATTCAGATTGGGAATTGTAGTTACCGACTAGGGCTACAACATATTTGAGTTTGGTGAAGTTTTGAGAGTGCACTTTTCGTCGACGGCGTTTCTTGTGAACGCGACTTTTCTGTCCAGAAATTGAGACCACCGATTTTGTTATATTTTGGCCTCTATGGCTCCTAGACTCCGTCCTTAGTCTCTAACACAGCAGCTGCCGCAGAGCCCCCTGCCGCTGTCCCGGCCCCGCCCTGCAGCAGCTGCCGCGGAGCCCCCTGCCTTAGTCGCGGACCCTCCCTGCAGCAGCTGTCGCGGAGCCCCTTGCCGCCGTCACGGCCCCGCCCTGCAGCTGTCGCGGCCCCGCCGTCGGCCCTTCCCGCCATTGGTGAGCACCTGCCCTACCCGCGCTTCCCGCGTGCCTATCTTACTAGCGCGCTGCAGTGCCGGCCTGCCTGCCTGCCTGCAGCGCCTGCCTGCCAGCCGCGCCGAGCCGCCCCGCCGAGCCGCGTCGTGCTGCCGAGCTGTGCAGCCCTACTCTACTGAGCCGCACTACCCAGCCTGCGCTACTACTACTGCTACTGCTGCAACTGGCGGCGGCCAAATGCAGCTCCAGCGACAACTGCGTGAGTCCCTCATGCCCCAGCAGCTTCGTGAGTGGTACACTAGTTGGGGTTGTCGGGGTGGCCAAGGTGGGAGTCGCCCTGGAGCGGGTCGTTTGGGAGCCTCTTGTAGTGGCCAGGTGCAGCTGCAACGGCGTCTGCGCAAGATCCTTTCGCCCCAGCAGCTTTGTGAGTGGTACGCTAGTTGGGGTTGTAAGGGTGGCCATGGTGGGAGTAGCCCTCGAGCGGGTCGTTCGGAAGCCTCTTGTAGTGGCCAGGTGCAGCTGCAGCGGCGTCCGCGCGAGATCCTTTCGCCCCAGCAGCTTCATGAGTGGTACGCTAGTTGGGGTTCTAGGGGTGGCCGTGGTGGGAGTAGCCCTGGCGCGGGTCATTTGGGAGCTTCTTGTAGTGACCAAGTGCAGCTGCAGCGGTGTCCGCGCGCAACCCTTTCGCCCCAGCAGCTTCGTGAGTGGTACGCTCAGAGTAGAGGATCACAGAGTATTGCTCGCTGCCTGTATGTCATTCGCACTGGTGCTCGGGCTGGTCAGCCTTGCGGGATGGTTAGTCATACAGAGTCCCGTTGCTTCTCCTCTCTGACCAAGGCGGTGGTGCCAGAGGAGAGTCACGTTGACGAGTGCTACTTTCTGCTGGTCGTTGACGACTACTCGTGTTACACCACAGTCTTCCCCTTGCGCCGCAAGGGTGAGGTCACTGAGGTGCTGATCGATTGGATCCGCGCAACCCCTCACCAACTCAGCGAGACTTTTGGCTCGGACCTTCCTGTTCTGCGTCTGCAATCCGACAGAGGTGGAGAGTTCTCCTCTGACCTTCTGCGAGCCTTCTGTCGTGCGGAGGGCATCCGCGAGACGTTCACGCTTCCGGTCTCTCCACAGCAAAATGGGATTGCTGAGCGTCGCATTGGCATGGTCATGGACGTCGCTCGTACGTCCATGATACATGCAGCTGCACCCCATTTTCTATGGCCGTTCGTGGTTCAGTACGCGGCGCATCAGCTCAACCTCCAGCCTTGGGTCTCCATGCAAGAGACCACACCTACTGTGTGGTGGACGGGGAAGGTTGGCGATGCGTCTGCGTTCCGTGTCTGGGGATCTCGAGCTTTCGTTCGCAACTTGTTTGCGGACAAGCTATCCTCCCGTGCTGTTCCCTGCGTCTTCCTTGGCTTCCCCCCTAACGCGCCTGGTTGGCAGTTCTACCACCCCACCTCGCGCCGTGTTCTGTCCTCTCAAGAGGTCACGTTTGACGAGTCGGTTCCTTACTATCGTCTCTTCCCCTACCGCACTGCCCCCCTCCCCCCCCCCCCGCTGCTCTTCCTTGCGCCAGGTCCCCCCCCCCCCCGGTAGACCCCCTCCCCCCTCAGGCCCCTGCCCCCTCAGGTGTGTCCCAGGTAGACGCAGTCGAGCCTGTCGAGGTAGCTGTTGACTCTGGTGCTGCTAGGAGTGCTGAGCCTGCGGGTGTCGGGTCTGGGTGTGCTGAGCCTGGGGGTGCGGAGCCTGCGGGTGCTCAGCTTGGGGTTGCTGAGTCTGGGGGTGCGGAGCCTAAGGGCGCTGAGCCTGTGCGTGTGGAGTCTGGAGTTGCTGAGCCTAGCGGTCCTTCGGGTGCTTCGTCCAGTCAGGAGCCACTCTCTCCAAAACACGAGTGGTTTGCTCGGTGTTGGAGCCATGCTGCTGGAGCTGGTGGTGCTACGGGCGCTGGAGGTCCTGCTCCTGCTGGAGGTCCTGCTGCTGCTGGAGCTGCTGGGGGTTCTGCAGCCACGAGTCCCGGAGGTGCTCGTACTGGAGGTACTGGAGCTGCTAGGCCTGGTGGTGCTCCTGGAGCTGGAGCTGCTGGCGGTGCTGGAGCTGGTGGTGCTACTGGAGCTGGAGCTGTAGGAGCTGCTCGATCTTCCAGTGGTCCTGCTGGAGCTGGAGCTGCTGGAGGTGCTAGAGCTGGAGGTGCTGCTGGAGATGGTGCTCCTGTGGGTGCTAGAGTTGGAGCTACAGGAGCAGCTGGAGGTGCTGCTGGAGCTGGTGGTGCTGCTGGAGTTGGAGCTACCGCTAGGGGTGCTGGTGATGTCCCTGCTAGTTTTGGAGGCGCTGCGCGGCCGCGGCCGCTCCTTTAGCAGGTTCTTGGTCTTCCGCCTTCTACTGGTCCTGCTCCTTCCTTAGAGTGTCCACCACTTGTCCAGTCGCAGTTACACTTGCAGCCCGCCTTCCCACTTCCTGCTCCTACTCCTTGCATTGGTCCGACTGGAGGTCTTGCTGAGCGTCGTGAGTCTGCGTCTTGTCCTGCGTCGCCTGTTCATGCTGCTAGCACTAGTCGTCGTGGTTTGCGTCAGCGTCCTCCTCCTGTCCCTGGCACGCACCGGATGGCTCTGCGCCCTTCCACTGCTCCACAGCGTGTCCCTCTGCCGTCTCCTCCTGCGTCCTATCTTCCTGCCCTTTCTGACCCGGAGTCTGACTCCCTTTGTGCTGCTAGTCCTACTGTCACGCGTCTCTTGGCCACTGTTGTCACTGACCCTTCCTTTGAGTCCACTGCTGCGTCTGCTTTAGTTGCTGAGCTTGTCAACTTTGCTGCTCACTGTCGTCTAGACTACACCGCGAATGTTGTTGCTGAGTCTGAGTCTATCTCTCCTCCGTCCGTCGGGGGTGAGTGTGCTCTTAGCACGGACGTCCTTGAGGACAGGCAGGAGGAATTTGAGTGCTTTGCAGCCGTTGTACCTCATCTCGTGTCCATGCTGATTGCACCTGAGGGAGACCCAGATGCACCTGACATCCCGACCCCGCGCTCTTACGTAGAGGCGATAGAGGGTCCCTACTCCTCTCAGTGGCAGTCAGCCATGGATGCAGAGATGGCATCGTGGAAGTCCACAGGCACCTACGTCGACGAGGTTTCCCTTCCTGGGGCGAACATCGTCAGTGGCATGTGGATTTTCAAGGTGAAGCAGCCGCCGGGTTCTCCGCCTGTCTTCAAGGCGCGTTACGTTGCTCGAGGCTTCAGTTAGCAACAAGGAGTTGACTTCTTCTAGACCTTCTCCCCAGCCCTGAAGATGACCACTCTTCGGGTTCTACTGCACGTCGCTACTCAGTGTGACTACGAGCTTCACTCTCTTGACTTCAGCACTAATTTCCTACAGGGCAGCTTGCACGAGGAGATCTGGCTACGCCGCCCACCTGGCTTCACTGGGTCGTTTCCTCCTGGTACCCAGTGGAGCCTCCGACGGCGAGTCTACGGTCTCCGCCAGGCGCCCCGTGAGTGGCACGACACACTAAGGACTACACTTGCGGCTCTTGGGTTTGCTCCTTCTACAGCCGACCCGTCGTTGTTTCTGCGCACCGACACCTCTTTGCCGCCGTTCTACATCCTCGTGTACGTCGACGACTTGGTCTTTGCCACTGCTGACACTGCTGGACTCGCCCACGTGAAGTCCGAGCTGCAGAAGAGACACACGTGCACTGACCTGGGTGAACTGCGCAGCTACCTTGGCTTGCAGATCACCCGGGACAGAGCACAGCGCACCATTACCCTGACTCAGTCACACATGGTGCAGCAGGTCCTTCAGTGCTTCGACCTCACGTACTCCTCGCCTCAGGCCACTCCTCTGTCTACTCGCCACTCGCTCTCAGCTCTGCCTTCAGATGAGTCCGTAGAGCCGAGTGGCCCGTACCCAAAGCTTGTTGGCTGCCTCATGTACCTGATGACCTGCACTTGACGTGACTTGGCATACCCTCTTAGCATCTTGGCTCGCTATGTTGCTCCTGGGAGACACCAACCAGAGCACATGGCTGCAGCTAAGAGGGTGTTGCGCTACTTCCTTGCTCGAGAGTTGCAGCAGCGTGGTCAGCTTCGTCTTTCTTTCGTGGCCTCTCGGGCCAAAAGTGCTGATTTCTTTACCAAGGCACTTCAGCCTTAAGATCATCAGCGTTTCTGTACTATGCTAGGTCTTGTGCCTACTGGGCCACACTTGCTTACCTCTTGACTTTGCTTGTACTATGATCTATATATACCTGCACTTGAATGCTTACCCCTTGTTAGGTTGAGATCACTATCTTGCTTGTTCACCTTGATTAATAATCCTGCATGTGAGTTGGCCTTGTGGCCTTGACCTTGTGCTAAGAATGTGTGGTGACGTTGTGATCCACCCTGAGCTTGACCTTGCCTTGTTCTCTTGCTTGTCCCCCATATTGCTTATGGGGGTGTGTCAGAATTATATTGTAGGCTATATTGGGGCACTCCTTATGGGGTACAGTAGTGTTAGGGTTTACTACTTGTACTCCTCATGCTGCTCAATGCATCCATTCCTCGTTCTTATCCTTACAAACTGCATCCGCCTGAAAATAATTACCCTTTACACAATCGCGAAATGCTCGCGATCGTGCAAGCATTCAAAGTGTGGTGCTGTTACTAGACTGGCGGAGATGTGACAGTACGGACAGACCATAAATTACTAGAGTACCTCCGCGCACAGCCCCACCTCAACCCACGACAAATTCACTGGCTCGATTTCCTCGAGTCAAATTTTCACTACACGGTCACCTACAAAAAGGGGGCATCAAACATCGCCGACGCATCGACCCGCCCCACTCTCCAAATCCATGCCATACTACTCATCCAAACCAGCCTGCTACTGACTGGACTATTTACCTACGGCTATCAAACTGGCCCATTCTTCACAGGAGAAAATTCGGAGGAGTTTGCAGCAGCAAAGGGAGTGTATTATGTAAAAGCCGTCATTGACCGCATCTGAGTACCAGGTTATATGTTACTACGAGAATTACTACTACAGGAGGCACACGACGGAGTTACCTCAGGCCATTTTGGAGTAGAAAAAACACAGCAGCAGCTGCAGCGGTATTATAACTGGCCCGAGATGTTAACCGACGTGCAACGACATGTTGCATCGTGTCCCACCTGCCAGCTCATGAAATCATAACGGAAGCGGCCGATAGGACAGTTGCAGCCGATACCACCCCCAGAGCGTGCTTGGCAGCAGGCGACGATGAACTTCGTCATGGGGTTACAGGGTGGAGCAAGTGGGAAGGACACGATCCTGGTCGTCGTGGATCGGCTGTCGAAGATGGCACATTTCGCAGCCTGCAAGAAATCAATCACAGCCGAAGAAACAGCCCGCCTCTTCATCTCCACCGTCGTTTAATTACACGAAATACCAGTAGCGATCATCAGCGACTGCCACACAAAATTTACCAGCAACTTCTGGCGGAACCTATGGCAGCAGTTCGGCACACAACTACAGTTTAGTTCTTCGTACCACTTCGAAACCGACAGACAGACAGAACGGACAAACCAGACCATGGAGCAACTCATCCGAACCACGTGCGACGACCCGACCACCTGGGAACAGCAACTGCCACCCATCAAGGTTGCGTATAACAACTCGCCATCCGCCACGACCCGACAGTCACCGTTTTACCTCAACTACGGACTAGACCCTACAGAACTCATCACCCCAGATTCCGAATACCCAGTACCGCGCAGGCAGCAGTTCGCAGAAATCTTACAGGCAGCACGGACCCGGGCAGCCGACGCAACAAAAAAAGCCAACGTAATCGCTAAGCGCAACGCCGACCGCCACCACAGACTTGTCACTTACCAGCCCAACGACCTCGTTTTTCTCGACAACCAAAACCTCCGCCTGCCCATCACCCCGAAACTCCGCCCCCGATATTACAGGCCATTTTGCATCAGCCACATGATCACACCCGTCACCACCCACCTCCTCCTCCCTGCGGACTGGTACGTAAGCCTGTCCTTCCACGTCAGCCTACTTCGCCCTTACGCACCATCCACCAGCCAACTGCCTCGCAACTGCCCAGCCAGCATGACACGACCGCCGATAGAACCAATCATGACGGCTCAAAAGATTCTGAGCCACCGAGTTCGTGACCCACGGGGAGCTTGAAGGATCGATTTTTTGATCCGCTGGAAAGACCATACGCCCCCTGAAGACAACACAGTTCCCTTGGACAAAGCTAAAAACCACCCCGTCCTCACCAAGTATCTGCGCAGCCGAAATTTTTCGAGATGTACACGCGCTTTCGTAAGGACCTCCTTTGGGGGGGGGGGGGGGGGGGGGGGGGTAGTGTAAGGAAAATTCCTTTTCCTTACTTCGCGTCCCTGTTTAGCGCGTACACCACTGTTCCCGCCAACAGCACCCAACAATAATCCGTTACAACTCGCGACACTCGCCTCGACACCGTTCCCGCCACTGTTAACAACGCGACCCAACCTCACGGTTCGGTTGTGTGAGGATCTAGGATCGAGCTCAGAAAAGAGAATGAGATTTGAGTCGAATTGAATGATCACCTGGGTACAACACGAGGCTATATATAGGCTTGACACATGGCCCCGTAACCAGGTGTTACGCGAAGGTTCCGCGGGCCGCGTAGCGTCCCGAACAGATCCTTACCGAATTCGGTAGAGGGCAATTTGGTGGCAACCGAAAAGCCAGAATTCGGTGCACGCAACCTAGCTCGGTGCTATAACTATAATAAAATATAGGAAAGCACCTAGCCTAGGAAATCAAGCAATTTATGCATGCATATGATTATCCTATGCTAGAAATAGCATGATAAAGTAAAGGCAAGCAAGCATAGCTGGCATAAGCCGTCGTGCTCTCACACGTCCCCCCCTCAAAGCTGGGTGGAATGAGATACACCCTGCTTGACAAGATAGTCCTTGAGAGCACGGCGTGCGTTGCCCATATCAGCTTCTGCAACCCAACTCTCCTCAGTGGGGTCGTATCCCTTCCAGCGTATCAGGAACTCAAGGATCTTGCCGCCGCGACGCCGATGAGAGAGAACGCGCTCAATCTCGTACTCGGGTTCATCCTGCACAAGAACAGATGGAGGTGGCGGTAGCTGCTGTCCCTAGAACTGTTGGTTGGGGTCCTTGTAGGGTTTCAGTAGCTGCACATGGAAAGCATTGTGAAGCTTCCAAGTAGTAGGTAAGCGCAAGCGGAATGTAACTGGTGTCACCTGTGCGCAACGAGAAAAGGACCACAGAAGCGAGGTCGGAGTTTGGATGGGAGGTGAGACAGGTTCAAGTTGCGCGTGTCAAGAAGCACCTGACCTCCGACTGCTACTGAGTGATCTCATCGCTAACGATTGGCATACTGCTTCTGGGAATTCTGCATCGTGGTGAGACGTCGCTGAGTCTTTTCCCATAGCTGCTGCATGGTGGTGACGAAGTCATGTGCGGCTTGGACGTGTGCCGGTGTGGTTGGCTGCTGTGGTGTGAGTGGTTCCCGTCCGTAACACAAGAAGAAAGGAGTTTTCCCTGTGGCCGCATGTGATGCGTTGTTGTAAGCGAACCCTAGGGTCGGTAACTGTGTGTCCCAGTGGCTGACGTTGTCTTTGCAAGCTGTGCGTAGTAACTGCTCAACCACTTGATTGAGTCGCTCTGTCCGTCCGTCAGTCTAGGGATGGTATGCTGAAGACATTGCAAGCTTTGTCCCCAATAGTCCCATGAGCTCCTTCCACAACTTACTCGTGACTTTTGGGTCTCAGTCTGAGATGAGTGTAGTGTGAAGAATAGAACGAGAGAATGATTGAACTATGAAACAGTTGGGTACAAGTATTAACCCTAATTGGGTTGTACCCCTTATGGGCTACCCACAGATGAATAAGCTATAATGTTCCGACACACCCCCATAAGCAAAGTGGGGGAGAACAAGCGGTCACCAAACTAGTCAAGCAAAGCAAAGCAAGCTCAGGGTGGATCACAAAGTCACCACACAGTCCGAGCACAAGAGCAAGGCCACAAGGCTAGTTCACATGCAAGATCATATATACAAAAGGTAAACAAGCAAGGGCAGGTATAGAAAGAGTACAGTACAAACAAGATCAAGAAGTGAGCAAGTGAGGCCAGGTAGACACAAGACCTAGCAAAGTACAGAAGCGCTGATGATCAGAAGGTAGAAGGGCCTTGGTGAAGATATCAGCAGTGTTGGCCTCAGAGGCCATGTAGGTGAGGCGGAGCTGACCACGCTGCTGCAGCTCACGAGCCAGGAAGTAGCGGAGAGCAATGTGCTTCGTTCTGTGCTCCAGTCTGTGCTCCCGACATAAGGCCAGCATGGCCTTGTTGTCTACGTACAGAACTGGAGGAGAACGAGGCGGCTCTCCTAGGTCAGTCAGCGTAGCTCCTGTGCAGCCATGGCCCCTGCGTAGATCTCAGCCTCACAGCTGGAGCTGAGAACAGAAGACGAGCGGGTAGACCGCCACGAAACAGAGCCGAAGCCAAGGCTGAAGGTGTAACCCTGTGACGACCGCTGCAGAGCCTGGTCGTCAGCCCGAGAAGCATCAGCGTGACCTGTGAGGACCACTCGACGTCGCCCTCCAAGCACTAGCCCCATGCCCGACGTACTGCACAAGTAGCGCAACACCCTCTTCGCTGCAGCCATGTGCTCTGGCCTGTGTCTCTCAGGAGCAACATAGCGTGCCAAGATGCTAAGAGGGTATGCAAGGTCAGGTCGTGTGCAGGTCATCAGGTACATGAGGAAGCCAACAAGCTCTGGGTACGGGCCACTACGGACTCATCCGAAGGCAGAGCTGAGAGCGAGTGGCGAGTAGACAGAGGAGTGGCCTGAGGCGAGGAGTACGTGAAGTCGAAGCGCTGAAGGACCTGCTGCACCATGTGTGACTGAGTCAGGGTAATGGTGCGGCATGCTCTGTCCCGGGTGATCTGCAAGCCAAGGTAGCTGCGCAGTTCACCCAGGTCAGTGCACGTGTGTCTCTTCTACTGCTCGGACTTCATGTGGGCGAGTCCAGCAGTGTCAGCAGTAGCAAAGACCAAGTCGTCGACGTACACGAGGATGTAGAACGGTGGCAAAGAGGTGTCGGTGTGCAGAAACAGCGACGGGTCAGCTGTAGAAGGAGCAAACCCAAGAGCCGCAAG